TTTTTGCTTAAATGGAGGGACATGTATACTGACGCCTGAATCCTACCTGAATGCAAGCAAACCTTGCATATGCCAAAAACGATTTTTCGGAAGATTGTGTGATGCTTATGTTGCTGGTAAGAACGTAGCAACAACTTTCCAATTCTTAATTCAGCATTGTCGAAAGCATTGTTGTAAGAATCTTTACATTTTTCAATCTTGGTTCCTTAGAGCGTTCGTGTCGAAGTCCGACCGTAGAGCTGCCTGGCCTGTCATCAAATGTAACCTCGTTACTGACTGTACGTCGAGCCAATCAGCTTGTAATTTCTTCAAAAGTCAGTCTTGATTGTGAGCTTTTGTATGAGACAATATTTAACTGGGAAGTGTACGATCTGCATTCACAATCTCGTGAACATCCCTTTCTTTCAAGATACGGTGGTACCTCAGAATTTCTCATAAAACGAGGCAAGCTACCGGTGGGTATATACTTGGTGCGACCGACTGTTAAAATGGCGGGAACGCAAGTATTTGGCTTCAGTGAGGGCTACATCCGGGTCATTGAAAGTCCATTAGTTGCGCATATCTCCGGAGGAACAAAGGTAGAAAGAGGATTCAATAAAACCTTGGTGTTCAATGCTTCCCTGTCACGTGACCCTGATTCCTTCAATCCTCCTAACGGTAAGATGACTACTTTACTCTGATCACGAAGTAAGACTAGATATATTTGCTTTTCTTAATTTACTGTGGTGGCCATCTTTTCCATTCTAAAATTCACGCTGATAATTGACTGTACCCTCTTAGTTGAGAGCGAAGATGTTCCAATAGAAGATTCGTAGTCCACCATCAGGCGCACCTGTCCTCCCCTTTTTTCTTTAATCTTCCTCTCAGTTTCATTTCCTTTTTTTTTTTTTTTGCTGTCCCTGATGGTAACGTTTCTAGTCTCATCTTATCCTTTCTCGTAAAATGGAATTAAAAAAGAAAATACGCGAAATGGCCGTTCGGCAAAAGTACCTTAAGGTTACCTTCTATTTTTAGGTCTTCGTTTCACCTGGATATGCAGAAATTCTTCACAAAAGTTTTCTGACGATCTACTTGAAATACCCGTGGCCCTGCCAAGACCTTCAGCAGCCAATCTCGACCGTGGAGGATGTTTTGGGACTGGAGCAGGAAATATAGGCGGCAACCATTCCATTTTTAAGATCGACAGTAGCTATATGACAGAGAACAGTTCGTATTTCATAACAGTTGTGGTCGAGAAGCATCCGAGAAGAGCGTATTTCACACAGGAAG